CCTCTTAGTGACATGGGTGGGGCCTCTATGGCGCTGGCCGCGCATGCTCAAGATCAGACTCTCAGTCCCGATGCCCGGCGTCAGGATATTTGGGACGACGAAATCACTATTTGTCTTCTTCGCTCAGGCGAATGTCCACCTGGCACCGACCTGGCGGAGCAAAAGCGTTGTGCTCAACGCGCACGCAAGTACCGTTTCCAAGGAGAGACACTTTATCGCATCGAGAACGACGGCAAGCCACGCGTCGTTCCCAAGCCTGGTGACCGCACTGACATCATCAAGCGCACCCACGAGCAGGCTGGTCACTTCGGGGTGCGGCGCACGACTGCGCTGCTTCTCACCAGCTACTGGTGGCAGGGCATGCACGACGATGTCGCTTCGGTGGTACGTCACTGCGCAGCCTGCGATCGTGTCAACACCAGCTTTTCAGCCAGGGCGCTGGAGCTCAACCCGCTGCCAATATCGGGTTTATTCTACCGCTGGGGTGTGGACCTGTGTGGGCCGTTCAAGAAGACCCCCAGGGGTTTTACCTACGTAATGATTTGTGTGGAGCATTTTTCTAAGTACGTGGTTCTCATTCCGCTGCCTGACAAGCATGCTGAGCAGACAGCGTTCGCCTTCCAGCACCACATTTTGGGCCGTTATGGGGCCTGTGCTGAGGTATGTACAGATCAGGGCAGTGAGTGGAAAGCTGAGTTTGCGCAATTGTTGATTGATTCGTTGATAGATGATCGTCAGACCTCAGCGAACCACCCGCAAGCCAACGGACTGGCAGAGCGTGCTGTTCAGACTTGCAAAAACGCGCTCCGGCGCATTGCACATGCTGGCGGTGGAGTTGAAGAGTGGGACAAGCATCTGCCGTACGTCATGCTGGGCTACAACTGCTCCGTGCAGTCAGCATCGCGTGTTACGCCGTACCACGTCATGCACGCCGTGGAGCCCACCATTCCACCGGCGATTAAGCAGCGTTTCGAAAGGGACGTGAGTTTGGATGACCCAGAGGCGGCGGCAAGGTCTATTATGCAACGTGCTGCCGCGCTTCGTCGACATATGGCCGTGGCGGGCGGCAACCTACTCATTGCGCAGCATCGTGACACTCTTCGTTATGCGCACATGAGGGGCGGAGCCGTTTTGCCGCGTTTGCGTCGTTTTGAGATGGGTGACTACGTGATTATCGGAATA